AACAAAGCACCTGTGTGCTGCAGGCAGGCAGATAAGACCACAAACGTGACGTACGTCGATAGAGACGTCCTTGGCCATGGTGAGAGGGCTATCGGGGTTGCTGGCCTGGCCCGACAGCACGTCAGTCGTCGACGGCGAGGGGGAGGCAGGCCTGCACACACCACACACACACACACACACACACACATGGGGCTGGTTGGGGTGGTTGCCTGCCTGCCTGCCTGCCTGCCTGCCTGCCCACCAAAGCTGCTTCTGGTTGTGCATGGCGTCTGGCGAGTAGCCCTCATAAACGAGCCTCTCAGCCTCGCCAATCCCCTCCAGAAACTTGATCCGAATCAACCTGTTGTAGAGCATCGTCCCTGACACACACACACAAGACAACACCGATGCCGTCTCTTCTGTTGTGCCGGGGATGTGGCACACCACCCACCGAAAGCCATGACAGCAAAGCCCAGGAGCTGAATCCAGTGGAAAGTGTTCCACCCGAGGACCAGCTCCCCCGCCCACACGAGGATGGTCCTGCAGCAGTCGAGTGTGCTGCGTGCCACTGCGGAGGCCCGCTTGGTGACGGTGATCCCGGTGACGTTGAAGAAGGCTATGGTGAAGATGACCCCGACACTGGATATGAGCAGCGGGAGGGAGTGGGTGATCTGGTGGAGGGCCCCCAGAGTGGGCGACACCTTCAGGGGCGTCAGGACGCTCAGCAGGACCACACCTGCATCGCAGAGAGGCTGCACGTGTGTGTGTGTGTGTGCTTATCCACTTACCGATGGTGCATCCGAACATCCCCTCCAACCCAATCGCCTCAATCGGCGCCACCTGACCGGCCAGCCCTCACAATGCCTCCGTGGTCCCTCTCTCCCTCCCTCCCTCCCTCCCTGATTGACCCACCTGGTATCTCGAGAGCACCTTCTCCTCGATAACGAACAGCGCCGCAGACGCCATCTGGGAACACGTGCAGACCACCACACCTAAGCCAGCGAGAAATCAGCCAATCAACAACAACCACCACAACTCGCTCCATCCATCCACAGGCGTGGGTTCTTTCTTGCGTAGCGTACCGACGAACGGGTGGATGCCTGACGGTGGCGGTGCGCTGCCGGATGGAGGGTGGTACAGAATAGTGGTCAGCGCCACTAGCACGATGCCCACACACACACACGCCTGCAGGCGAGACGAGGCGAGGAACCAGGCCGAGACAGGCGATGGCGATTATTGACATGCGCCGGCCGGGGTGGTGTTGGTGTGTGTGTGTGTGTGTGTGTGTCGTTCTCACTCACTGACCACGCCGACATAGTGGTGGGCGAAGAGTCGCCTCTTGAGAAAGATGACAGAGAACAGGGCCGTGAAGATGACAACGGAGCCACGGATCATCTGCACCGCTGACGCGGAACTAAACACACACACACACAAACACAAACACAAACACGCAGAATGGAGGGAAATTGTCATTATTATCATGCAGCCAATGTGTTTGGTGCGGTGTGGTGTGCTGTGCTGTGGTGTGTGTTTGGACAGACATGATGAGTGTGGAGAAGAAGACCATGGTGGAGGCCGTCCAGTCGCACGCTGACGGGACGATGAACAGCCACTTGGGACACGGACGGTGGATGTGACGCCGCCGACGGTCCAGCCGCCGACCCACAAGAAACACCAGCAGACAAGAAAACTCTGTCACACGCACACGCACCAGAATGCTCGGCAACCGAGTGCATTGCTCAGTCAGAAACAAACAGTGGTTGGTTGACTGACAGACTGACCTCCCATGAACATGATAAATGTCTGGACGAAGGGCGCGTCAAACTGGGTGGGCTTCTGTCCTCTGCCGGCGGGGGCGTACTGGTTGTCCTGATACTTGGACACGAGCGTGTTGAGCGCACCGCTCACCAGCATCACCACCATCGCCACGTACAGGTGCATGCCGGCTGCAGCACTGGCGCGGACGGTGCCCGCACACGGTCCAGCGCTCCCTCCCACCCTCAGACCTGCAGAAGCACGAGCCCCATTCCCTTGCGCGAGCTGAAGCTCGCAAAATTGAACTGATGACCCGCGTTGCCTTTGCCGCCTTCTTCGATGCCTCCTCGAGGACGTCAGGAGGATGTTCCTGAGCCGCATCCTGAATGGCATCGTCTTCAAGGAGAAGATCCCATATGGAATCAAACGGGTGGGTACGCAGCAGCACCACGCCACGCCAGCCTGTGCAGGCGCAGTGCATTCATTCAGTGCACTGCAGTGGACGTCTTTCTGTCTGCCCCACGTGTGTGTGCCTTGCAGAGCCGGGCCTACCGCGACGCTCGCAAGGCGGAGCGTCGCGCCAAGTGGCACGCCATCAAGCAGGAGGAGCAGCGCAACTTCGTGATCTCAGGCCGGAAGTCCCTGTACATGAGCCTGATGCGCAACACGGGGCTGGGGTGGTACCGGGCCAAGCAGGTCCTCAAGCACCTCGAGATGCACGAGCGGGGCTCCGTGGAGCCCACGCCCCACGTGAGGGACAAGATCAAAAACATCGCCACCTTCGTCAAGCTGGGCAGGTGAAGTGAGTGGACGAATGATGCGTTGACAGAGAGAGGGGGGAGGGAGGGAGGGCAGTGTGCCCTGTGGGTGTGCGGTGGTGGTGGTGCTGCTGCCTTTTTTCGGTGTGGTGCAAGGGTATGGGCGCAATGGACTTACTTGTGCAGACGATGTGTGATTGATCGACGCGAAATATATGGGTCGGTCTCACGCAGGCAGCAGAGATACGCAACAGTTCGTTCCGGCCACACACGCACAGACACCACACCCACGTGGCCCGTCCATCCAGTCCACTCAATCAATCACCCACCCTCCCTCCCGCTGACACACGCAGACAGGCCCGCCCGCCCCACCCGCTCGACCAGCCACATCCAGCTAGGCACACTCTCACACTCTCACGCACAGTCAGACGGACGGACAGCCATCTACACACAGCCGCATGGCGCATACACACCCATCCACACGTCGGTAGGTACGCGCGGGAGGCAGGCAGGCAGGCAGGCAGGTGAGCAGCCGCTCTGCTATGCTGCCTGGCCGGCTACGGCCGCTCGCTCCTGCCCTCCCGCTGCCTATCGTCACTCACACACTCACGCCAGCCACCATACCATCCATTGCTTTGCTTGCTGAGCTGATAGATCAGTCGATAGGTTAGGCATCGCAGGCATCCTTCTCTCCCCCCAAGTGTCCCTCCCTCCCTCCATCCCTCCCTCCACCATGGTATGGCTTCCGTCCTTCCTGGGCGGGCGGGCGGGTGGGCGGGTGGGTGTGGAACGAAATGGATGGCAAATCTTAAATATCGACTGAACCGCCCCCCCCCTTTCCCTTTCGTTCATTCCCTCTTCTCCTTGTTGGCATCGCTGTCGCCCTCCCCCTCGTCTGCATCCGCCTCTGCCAGACACGACTCCGTCGCCCCCTCTCCATCTCTCTCTCCGCCGGACACACCAATATCAGCACCAGCAGTATCGGCGGCAGCAACTGCAACTCCAGCCGCCTCTGCCCCCTCCTGCGGCTCCTCATTGCTGCCGTAGTTGAGCACCTCCCTCTGCACATCGCTCACACCCACCCCGCCACCGCCACCGCCGCCGCCGCCGCCCCCGGCACCAGAGTCCATCATGTCCATCATCATGTTCATGCCCACGCCGCCATCCAGTGGGACCGGCTCGGTCAGCACACTTGCCAGCAGGGGAGGGGGCGGCGGGGGCGGGGGCAGCAACGCCGATTCGGCGTCCCCGAGCCCCTGGAGGATCTCAGCCCGCTTCTGCGCCATGGTCTCCACAAGTCCGTTGCTACCGCCGTTGCCATCGCCATCGTGACTGAATGTGGGCAGCTCCCTTGGCGGGGGCCGCTTGCTGGGGGACCAAGTGCGCTGCTCCACGGCCGCCGTGGTTGGAGGTGTGTAAGGGGGAGGGGATGACGGGGTGTCTGTGGATGAGGGGAAGAGCCCGATGCCGCCTGTTGTCCTGGGTGCGCCGGGGCGCGACGAGAAGGGGGAGGGGTCGCTGGGGCTCATTTCGGGGATGGGGGCCGCATGGAGGATGGGCGGGGAAGTGGTCGTGCCTGGTCGATAAGACATACCATACACACAGACACAAACAGCGTGTGTTCGTATGTGTATGTGTATGTGTATGTGTATGTGTGTCCGTGGACAGCGGGCGGGTCCTGCCTGCCTGCCTGCCTGCCTCCCTCCCTCACTCACTCACTCACTCACTCACTTCGCGATGGCGGCGCGAGCGGCATGCCCGTCACGACGACCGGCGAAGACACGCCCCTCTCCCTCTCCCTCTCCGTGTTGCGCGAAAAGAGCGGCGAGACGCCCCCATACGCACCACCAGCAATCAAATCCGTGACAGCAGGAGCCGACACCGTCCTCTCCGCGACCGGGACCTCCGTCGCATGCTGCTGGGGTGCTGGGGGCGCTGGCTGTGCTGTCGTGTATGTGGTTGTGTAAGAGGTGGGCACTGGCGGAGGGAACGGCATGGCTGGGGGCGGCGAGGCGCGCGGGCGCGGCTGCGGGGGCAGTGGCGGCTGCTGTGGCATGTGAGGGGGGCTGGGAGTGGGAGGGGTGGGGGTGGTGGTGGTGGCCATGTTGGCTGTGTTCATCTTGACCATCTGAAAGATCTGCGACACCTGGTTCTCCGTGACCGTCATGCGGGACTCCAGCAACCTCATGGTGCTGACACACACATGTCATCAGATCACACAGAGGATGATTGACGTGTGTGTTGTGTGTGTGTCCGGGCGTGTCAGTCAGTGTGTGTGTTTGGCTCACTGGGCTATCATGTCCATTTGTGCGGTGAGGCCGTCCAGCGTCCTGGCAACGCTCTCCGGGAGCTGCGACCAGTCGAAGCCCCTCACTGCCGTCTGGGGGATCTGCGGGACCACCAATGGCGCAATCCCACCAACACCAACACCAGCACCCAGACCGGCTCCCTCCACCTGGCTCTCCCTCTCCTCCTCATCAGTCTGACCGACGGCAGCGGTGCTAGTGGCAGCGGGGACAGAGCCGCCTCTCTGCCTGCCCATCTCACCACCAGCAGCGGCAGCGGCGGACAAGACATCCACCGACGTCCAGCTGCCCTTGCCGCTCTCCCTCTCCCTCTCCCTCTCCCGCTCCCTGTGTCGGTCGCCCAGCAGCTGGAATGGCGAGATGGACCTGGGCCGGTGGGCCGATGCAGCAGCGGACGGGTGGGAGGGTGCCTTGGCGTGTGCCTGTGGCTGTTGTGGCTGTGGGTGTGGGTGTGCGCGTGTGGAAGAAGGTCTGATGGAGGATGTGCCTTCGGTGCGGCTGGTGTGGGCGGATGGATGGTCGTGGGAGGGGCAGCGGGGGGGCCGCGACGGACGGTGTAGGGGGCTGCATCAGCCAGACAGACAGACAGACAGAGAGGTCGGAGAGGCCGTGGTTGATGGGAAGTCATGTGTGTGTGTGTGTGTGTGTGGTTGGGAGGAGCTCGGGGGTCCCTACCGAAGGGATGAGTCGACAGTGGCACTGGCTACTTCGGCCGCAGGTGGGATGGGCGACTGATCCACACCTGACCGATAAAGACAAGTCGCCCCTCTTCATCCCCCTTAATATGATCTGATCAGTCTGCTCAGCAGACTGAACTGACCTATGCTATTAAGCGCCTGGTCGAAGTTGCTGCGCCACAGGATGATGCTCGCATCCTGCGAACCTGCAATCACACAAGGACGACCAGGTGAGCGCGCCAGGCAGGCAGCCTGGCACTGTGTGTCATTCCCCCACCCACCCACCCACCCGACAGAAAGAAGTCCCCCCTAGGCGACCACGCGCAGCAAGTAGTGGGCCCCTGCAGGACACCCATACCGAGATGAATGCTCAATGCTCGACTGCATAGGTGCGTTGATTTGGTTGATGGTGTGTGTCCTTCCTCACTGGTGCCGACTTACGTCGTGTCGGTAGACTGAGTACATCAGGTGGGCCTCGCGCAGATCCCATATCTGCACACACGCACACACAGATGCACACACACACACGCACACATCTTGTGTGCCGTGGTCACCCACCACCCGAGCACCCACCTTGACTGAAGTGTCGTGTGAAGACGAGAGCAGGAAGTTGCCCGACGGGTGGAACGCTATCGCCGTCTGAATGCCCACACACACATACACATACACATACACGGCATATGAGGCCAAGGGAGGCACATGTGATGTGTGAGTTGGTGCGTTGGTGGGTTGGTCTCACTGTCTGGCTCACCACAGGGCCTGTGTGGTCCTTATAGCACTGGAGCAACCGGCGGCTGCGCACATCCCATACCTGCACACACACACACATGAGTGATCCTTCGCCCTTTCATCCCTCTCTCTCCGTGTGCATGTCTGTCTGTCTGCAGTTAGGGCCACGGTAGGTACGTGTATGGCCCTGTCGAATGAGCATGCCGCCACCAGGTTCCCGTCAGGGTGGAAACGCACACACGCTGTCATATATTCAATTCAAGAGAAACGAGGCGACACAACGCAACACAACACACGGGAGAAAGGGGAGGTGGAAGACCGCCTGGCACCACCCAGTCCACCACTCCACTTACAGACGGTCTCCTGGTGCTCGTAGAAGGTCTCCACGGTGTCCCGCCTCTCCACGTCCCATACACGCACCTGATGGATACACACGGTAGGTACAGCCAGGTGGCCACACAACACACCACACATGACATGGATGACAGACATCTCATAGAGGAAGGAGGACTCTTTGTCACTCACGGTCTTGTCGTCGCCCCCCGAGATGGCCATGCGGGTGTCGGGCGAAAAGGACGCTGACCGCACCTGCAGGCAGACGGTCAACAAACAGAACAGAACAGATGTGTCTGTGTGGGCTGGGCCATGCCATGTGGGGTGGGTGGGTTGGTCACTGAATAAGTTAAGTACGCACCCAGTTGTTGTGTCCGCACATGGAGGCGTGGAAGGTGCCCGACATGTCCGTCACTGACCACAGCTGCACTCACCCACCCGCCACACCCACACAAAACATCCACACGGCCACGGGGGCAGCAGACAGACAGACAGACAGACAGACACCCACACTCAAACAGAGAGAGGGACACACAGCTGGGTAGGGTAGTCGCATGCATACCTTGACAGTTTTGTCATCGGATGCTGTGAGGAGGTATCGGTCGCTGCGGGAGTACTCGACGCTACGAACCGCACCCGCATGCGCCTGCGCGACACACACACACACATCCGACACGGACAGACACACACCAAAGGACGCACACACAGGCCAGGGCAACTCACCTTGAGCACTGACGACTCGCCCTTCCTGAAGCCACACACACACACACACACACCGTGGGAGCTGTGGTGGTGCGGTATGTTGTGTTGTGTTGTGTTGTGTTGTGGCTTGGTTTCTCACGGCGTGTTGGCCCATATGCGAATGGTCTTGTCGTTGGACGCGGAGGCGATGTAGTGACCCGACGCACTCACAGACAAGCCATTCACCGCACCCTGCACCGCACACACGAGGGAGGCGAATTCACACGCAGATGTCAGCATCCATCCATCCATTCAGTACTCTTCTGCAGTGTGTCGCCTCACCTACCTTGTGTCCGGCGAATCTCAGAGGCCTCGTGTGAGGCTTGAAGTGCCACACAAACACATTGCCGTCGGTGGAACACGACATGGCCTGCTTCCTGCAACACACAACACACAACACACGTACAGCTCATACATATGCCAATGGCACACATCCATCACATGCCATGCATTGACATCCCCTGTCTGTTCCATTCCACCTGCACCGAACGGACATACATATTGGGGTTGAATGCGACGCCCGTGACGGTCTCCTTGTGGCCCGTGAAGAGCTTCTCTATCGCAGGATCTGACGCAGACGTGGCGCCGCTCCTCCCCGCCCTCGGCCCATCCACACCGCCGTGGCCGCGACTATCCCTCCCGTTCATCATCATCGTCCTTGCCGAGGGTTCAATAGGCTTGCTTCGAAAGGGGCGGGACAAGGCTACTCAGGCTGCTTTCGCCTATGGTCAGCTACTCAGGGCTTCTTGGCTGTGATGCTGAGCTATGCATCGAATCATGGCGGCCATCGTGACCACCTTTGCGAGCGATCGACAGTGACGCCCCCAGACGTGGGGGCGGGAGAGAGCATGGAAACGACGGCGAACTCGGAGGTGTCTGTACACTCACCGACACTGTCAGCTATCTACACACCCATTATGAACCGGCGGCTACTAAGGACACGCCTTGCAGGAGCACGCGCAACCAAGTCTTCTCAGCTGACGGGCATTGCTCGCGGCGACACACCTACGAATGCAGCGGGTTGGTCCCCGCCTTTGCCACCACTCTCATCGTGGCTGCTCCTCTGCACTGTCCCCCTCCCCCTTCGTCGCCCGGCCGCAGCGTTTGGCGCTTGATCTGTCGAGGCACGCTTCAGGCGTCTTTGCCTCGTCGGGTGCGTGGACGTCGATGGCCGAGTTGGGAGGTGGATCATCACATCTCTTACGGCGTCTTCCTTCGTGTCGGTTGGCACCTCGGCGCCGCTGTCTGGCGATCCCCGAGGGTGTGTCACTGCTTCGCGCGCGGACGCCGGTGCCGGCGTGAATCGGTGGCTCATCCCCGAGAGAGCGCTGTTCCTGCCGCTGGCACTCCTCGGTGTCAGGCCCATGCGGTGGACTGCCGGCTGGAGCGCCGACACAGGAGTGGACGAATCGGCCGACCGGCGTGTCTCGGACGCGTATGTCAGTGCTCGCGAGAAGACATACCTCCCGCCGCCCCCGGCACGATGGACATCCGACGGCCTTCTCGGCGTCACTGCAGACCCTCTCCGGCGCTCTCTCAATGGCAGCCGAGTCGGCACATTGGCCGTGACGGGCCGGCTGGTCTCTGGGGGTGAGGGCGGTGGGGAGGGCTCTCTTGGCGGTCTGCTCTCGTCTTCCGCAGTGGAATCGAGCTGTGAGGGAAACTTGCGGATCGACGGCCGGGGGGCTGGCCGCAGCATGTGCTGGATGGAGCCCGCTCGATAGAGCTGCGACTCGTCCATGGAGATGTAGAATGGTGGCGGGTTGAACGGCGGTGGCGGCGCTTCAGGCCTCGACGACGAGGGTACGGAAGATCCTGCATCGGAGGGCATGCGGGGGATCTCTGCCAAAAGCATCACAGGGAAATCAGGCACTGTCGGCTGAGGAGACGCCGCTGCCTGAAACCGCTCGGTCAGTGAGGGGGCTGGCGGTGTCGCTTCGGCAGCAGTAGCGACGGCAGGCTCTGGTGAGGCTCGTGGCGTCATGGTCATGCGGACGCTCGCTGACCGCGGCCTTTCTTGTGGTGTGGCTTGAGGGACACGCACCAGCGGCTCGGTGTCCCGCATGACTTTGGAGGGCACGACAACGCAACGATGAGCAAGCGACCTGTCACAAGCAGGGAGAACGAGACACGAGATGCATGCATGGGCGAGCGAACGCCTCGGCTAGGCTAGCTCCCACTCTCACCTGCTGGAAGCCAGCGGCACCTGCAGCACCTCTTTCAGCCCCTCAAGGGCACTTTGCCGGTCGACCGGAATCGCCGTCCCCGGCCGCCTCTCCCCCCGACCCTCCACACGCACAGAGGGCTTCTTCGGCCGCCACAGCTCCTCCAGCTTGTCCTTAGACACGCGGAATATGTGGGACTTTTCCTCCAGCCGGATCTTCAGCAATCCCTTGGGAGTCTTTTCATCGTCCGGCGGCTCCAGCTCAAAGGAAGGCGCGGTTATCTCGGCTGGCAGCTGGAAGTAGCTCTGCTCTGTGAGGGTGGCCTTCTTTGACGGGTCCCGCGGCGTTTCGTCGAAGTCTTTGGTGGAAGTCTCTATCATCATCCTGTGGCTGGGAGGGGGGGAAGACACCGTGCTGCGACGGCGCGGTGGGATTGAGGAGGGGGAGAGCCCCTCATGGGTCTCTTCTTCGCCACGTCTGTCTGAAGGCACTTCTGGGTCTTCGGCTGGTGCAGAGATGGCGAGCAGAGGGACGGCAGGATGCACATCCTCAATCGCTGCTGCTGCTGCTGGGGGTGCAAGAGGAGGTCCAAGTGGGGGAGGGAGGGCAAGCGGCAGCTGCAGATAAGGATTATTGTCCTCCGTTGATCCTCCGAGCTGTCTCATGGCCTCGTTGATCCTCCTATTAGCCCACACGGCCATCCGCTCCTCCTCGTCCCTCCTCATGGCGTCCCGCGGCCTCGCCACACCCGCCATGCCATCGAGATCAGCCCTCTCCCTCTCCACCCGCCAGTCACCCAACGCAGCCGCCGGAGCAGAGGGCGGGAAAGGGGCCAGAAGCGCGCCCATGAAGAAGGCCGCCCGCTGCACCTCGTCCTTGAGCGAGGAGTACTCCGGCGGCACCCAGCTGCCGAACTCGAGACAGACCTTCTCGAGCAGTGACAGGTCGCGGAGTGAGTGGAATGAGAAGCCGAGGAGGGGTGTGGCTTTGCTCAAGTGGGGTTTGCGCCATTCGAACTGCTTGAGCAGCAGAAGGTGGAGCGCCAGCGGGTTGGCGTGGAGCTTGAAGTGGATGAAGGGCGAGTTGAGAAGACTGGGGAGGGTGCACTCCCCGAAGGAGGTCAGGATGCGATGCTGCGTCGCGAGCTCCCCCCTGAATGCAATGCATGGATGCGTTTCGGGGAGAGTTCTGTTCATGCGCTTACTTGTGGATGATTTTGTTGCATCTGAGTTCGATCTCATCCGGCATTTCCTGACTGGCGAGCTCTGCAAGCCGATCCAAGCAAGAAGTGGGCAGTTTTGCCCTCAGGTCGCTCTGTACCCACAAAGAGAAAGATAGATAAGACGCGTGAGACACAGCCTCTGAGCGTACGGCGGAGATGGCGTAGAGGTCGACTTTGGCTGATCTCGCAATGACAGTGAACGGCTCGGGCAGACCCAGAAAGACGGACGACAGGCCGATGATGTGGCCGCGGACACATGAACTCACATCGAGATAATCTGTATTGTATGTGCATGGCATGGATCGGATCGAACACGCACCAACACAAACACTAAGAGACATGCTTTGCTTCCTGCTGCATCTATAGTCCCACCTTTGTGGAAGAAGAGCCCCCTGGTAGCAGCCAGGAGCTCTTTGCGAGTACACGCCTGCTTCTTCTGAGGGTCCCTTCGCGGCATGACCAGGACGGTGCCGCCGCGGCCTGGGCCTGGCCCGCCCCTCGCGCCCACTTCAACCCTCCGGCGGGCAGTGCAGAAGCCTTCACGCACTATGAAGAGGCACGCCAGCAGCTCGCCCTCCCTCACGATCGTTGCACCGGCTGTCTTGCTCTCGTCCTGCATGAGACATGGACTTTCGCATGATGTATGTTGTGTTTGATGGGTGGAGGGGTGCACGCACCTTGAAGAGATAGCTGAGCCGCTCCCTCGTGGTGAAAGACTGCCTATCGAGGCCGGGGATGTACACCTTGAGGAACTTGTTCTTGTCTCTTTTCTCCTTGTGGAGTTCCGCCTTGATGATCCGATCGAACGGCTGCTTGTCCAGCACCAAAAACTCCGATGGCATCAACGTCCTGAAGGCCAAGGAGGCCCACATACATATGACACCACCTTCCCGCCCATCGACGCACCCACCTGACGGTGGCCGACCTCTCCTGCATGACCAGCAGTGCCCTCTCGCCAAAGGACTCCCCCTCCCGCCGTATGCCCAGCAGATAGTACCCGGCAGGGCAGAACCGGTGACCCAGCACATGCAGCATCTCCTGCTCCGTCTCCTCCTTGCTCCGCATCTGACTGATCTCCCTGCTGGCGCGCGGCGAACTTGATGTCGCCGGAGTGGACTGGCTTGTCAGAGGGGATGCCGGTTCCATGCTCATGCTCTCCTCCGGCTGCTGGAGGTGGTCCCTCTCGCCCTCTGTCTGGGTGATGAAGGTGTGGTGGTCGCTTTTTCGGGTGACACCCGGCAGCCGTGGAGGCACCGTCATGGGCCTCTTGATGGCGGTGGGAATGGACACGGTCAGCGAGCATTTGCCTGAGGGTTCATCTCCTGTCTCCTCTGCGGCCCTATGTCTCGACTCGAAGGCCTTCCTTGCCTCCTCACTGGATCGCTGCACGAGGGCTGATGTGTCGAGGCCGCTCAGTGTCTCGTGCACGTCCACCCATGTCGCCCCTTCCTTTTGCACGTTCATCCGTCTGGCCCGTGCAGCCGAGAGCGATTGCCGCCGCCTGTCACCACCCGATTCAACGATAGAAGAGACAGCCGAGAGGTCAGACGCTCGGTGGGCTGGTGCGGTGCTGGGCCGGAACGGCACCTCCTCAGTCTTCTTCAGAGCGGTGTCGCGGGCGGCCAGCAGTCTGTGCAGCGACAGGGCGGTCTCATCGGTGCTGCTCCTGCCTCCCTCCCTCTCCCTGAGACCCAACAGAGCCGGTAGCCATGAAGGAAAGGGCCCTTTAAGCTCCGGCTCGTGTGGCCCAGCCCAGGCCTTCTTCTCAAGGTCCTTCGGCAGCAGCCGCGGCGGCTCAACCGTCGAAAGCGACACATCCTGCACAAGCCCCAACGCTCGGGTGAGCGACCGTGCTGTCATTGCGTCTGGGTGTGACTCGCCCCATCCATCCCTCGGACTCTCGTCGTCTGCAGCAAGCACGCCGGCCTGTGACAACTGCACCTGCTGCTGGTGCTGGTGCTGGTGCTGGCGCTGCTGCTTGGCTGCCGGGGAAGAGCGATAGGTGGATGTGCCGACCTCCCGGGCAGCGAGCACCATCAGCCTCTGGCTCAGTGGCATGCGCAAGGGCATCATGGGCATCAAGTGGCCGGGCTTCTTAGGTGGTGGGGAGATGGGGGAGGTGTCGCTTGGGGAGGAGGGCAGTACAGATGTGACGTCGGATATGGCTTGTGAGGGGCGGTGGGAGATGGGCAGGGGCAGGGGTGCCGCTGCGCTTTCAGACAGCCGAGACTGCCATGTGACGGTGCGGCCCATCCGGCTGTCTCTCTTTCTTGTGTCGCCTTCATCCTCTCGGTCGGAGTCGTGCTCATCCGGACCCTCGTACTGCTGCAGCGCTTCTGCTGCTTCCCTCTCCTCCTCGTCAGCACGCAGGGCCCTCAGCTTCTCGAAGAAGGACTCCTTCATCTCCGTCTTCTCGACGTCTCGTTTGGTGCTATTGGGTGGTGATGAGAGGTTGAACGATGTCATTGACTTCATCTTCTTGACACCAGGCGAGACGCCCCGCATTGCCAAGCTGCGGCGGCCCTGTGTTGACGCCACAGAGCCCCTCGGCTGCTGAGACACCGGCCCCCCTTTTTGTCCTGCTGCTGCTGCTGCTGCTGCCTTGGAATCGCTGAAGCCGAGCGGCCCGGCTTTCGCTGCTTTCTTGCCCTCCTTGGCACCCTCGATGAACTTGCTCACGAGCGTCACCTTCCTCCAGGCCTTCTTGAACCGAGCCCAGCCACCCTGAGGCTCGTCCTCCTTCTCTGCTGCCTTTGGCGATCGCTTCCCCTCCCTCGATGACCTTTTACGGCGGCGAGTGGAAAGGGGAGAGCCGGTAGGAGAGCCGGAAGGAGAGGACAGGGGTGACTCGTATCTGTGTGGGTGTCTGGGGCGGACAGGAGAGTCATCCTCGTGATGAAGGGAGGGCATGCTGACGAGCGTGCGGAGCATGGAGCCGCTGCTGATCTTGCGGCTGTAGATGCCGACCATGCCCTTCAGCAACAGGTAGAACTATAGAATAGACAGCAATGCACAGTGCGTATGCTGTCTCAGTGTGTGTGTGTGTGTGAAGGCGTCCGTGAGAGTGACCTCGTTGCCGACGTCTCCCTGGTGGAAGAGGGTCTTGCCCTCTGGGGCATACTCCCACCGGACCTCTCTTGCCAGCTCGATCAGGGCTGACTGACCACACACACGCACACACGCACATATACAGGGAGAGAGAGAAACATGGTGGCGCATAGAAAGAAGAATCGCGGTGGGATAGCTTACGTTTGGAAGGCCTTTGGCGAACTCGTATGTGCGCTGGCATAGCAGGGCCACAGAAAGGGCCAGTAAGGACTGTACTGTGTTTGTCGGTGAGTGGATGGGTTACATTACCAGGAGCCCTGAGATGAGGGCAAGGTCGACGCTGCTCCTAGTGTCAGGCTGTTTCAGCCTCAATATCTCGAGTATTACCTGCTCCCGCCACGGCACCTGCAGGCAATCGACAGACAGACAGACAGACACAGCACACACATTCCTGTCTCAGCCTGGCTGTCCTGTTTCCCCTTCATGCCTGCCTGTTTGTATTTGTCAGCGAGGCTTCTGAACTCCTCCTTGCCCAGCCGTGCCATGGTCGTCTTGCTGATGGCGCGGCAGGTGGCTGATCGGGGCTGCTCCGTCAGCAGCGCCAACTCTGTAAGAGGGATAGATGACCACGACAAACAAAAGGGATGAAGTGGGCGTGTGCGTGCGAGTGTTCGTTGCAATATAAACCTCCGAGGACGTCGCCCTCTCGCTTTTGACCGACGAGCATCTCGCCGCCAGGGGGGGACTGATACGCAATGATACGCAGAGTGGTGTGCTAACTGCACGATACACCTAGCTACCTTGAGCAGATAGACGCCGACACATCCCTTGAGCACGATCATCAGCGAGTCTGCCCTCTCGCCCTACGCCGCAACATAGCCAGCCCAGCCATCAACACACGCTTGTCTGGTACCCCACCTGACCTGACTGACCTGACAGAACAATGTCTCTCCCTCTTCGGCCATCTGGAGTGTGAGGCACTTGGCCAGCTCCAGCTTGAAGGCCGCATCAAACATGTCCAAGGCCTTGACACCCTTGAGTGATCATCCGAGAGGCAGCCGAAAGGCAGCCAACGAGTAACACGCATTGAGACAAATTGTGGCCAGTCGTTGCTCGGCTCGGCCCTTCGGGCCTCACCTTCGCATTTGTACCTTGAGCAAATCGCACAACGCCTGGGTCTCGGCCACTGTCCGCTCCTCCGGGGGCGATTGGAGTGTGAGCATGTTCTTCTCCCGGTTGATGTGCTTCAGCCGCCCGACCCGCATGCAGCTGTTGTAGACCTTCTTGGGGATGAGGACCACCTCCGTCTCGTCGAGCGCCACGGCCGTGCCGCCCCTCGCCTCGTGCAGAAACACCCCTTTCTCGCCAAAGACGTCACCCTGCCCGCACCCCTTCACAAAGACGTCGAACCGCGTCTCTGTCAGCGTCTCCCGCGGCATGTCGCCCGTGCCCTTTTCGCCGCCACCGTCCGTGTCGATGGACCCTCGCGCGTCTGATGAGGATGCTTGTGAGGGTTTGTGCTGGAAGGTGCCTTTCCTGGAGGGTCGTCTAGGGGTGTCTGTGAGTGTGCCGGACGGCGCGCGGGACAATGTGGTGTTCTTGCGGGAGAGGACGCGGGACAGCGGCTGGGAAGGGGCGGGGGTGACAGCCAGGTGGCGACTATCAGTCAGTCAACACGGACGGAGAGAAGAGGTAGACATGATTGAGATGCATGCCATGCCATGCCATGTCATGCCATTCCTCTGTCGTTTAGCTCACTCACCCCTCTCCCCAGAGAAAGATGGCGCCGTCAGCGGCCTTTTCCCTCAGCACCTTCTTCTCGCTCGAGTACATGAACACCGACCCCGATGTCGGCCGCATGTCCAGCACTTTCTCGTCGTCATCTCTCTCATCAGCACCACCACCATCATCATCACCACTGTCCTGCTGCACGTCGCCAGTCCTCTCCCCCTGGCGGTCTCCCGCTCCGGCGAACTGCGTCACAGACACCTCATATTCCTTCGAGGGCCGGTGCGGATGGAAACCGGTCGTTTCGCGGTTGTAGAAGGCGACGGTGTCTCGCCTTCGGGACATGCGGCGTCGGCTTGGTGGCCGCTGGGGGGGCTGCTCCTGCCCTTCTCCTTCTCCCTGCTCGTCTTGGTTACTGGGAGGTGGCTCGTCGTGTCGTGTGTGGTCTGCGGTGAATATTGCGACGCTGCCGGTGATGATGATGTAGACGGCGTCACTGTCGTCGCCTTGTTTGTAGAACGCGTCACCCTTCTCGACACGTCTCCTGCAAGCGGGACAGTCAGAGGATCGGTGGAAACGCCCCGCCCCAGCTGTCTAGTTCTGTCCCGTGTTAGTACCATGTGACCCTTCTGAGAAGCTGCGACAGAACGGAGACACTATTTGCTGCACATTGCATTTCTGTCTTTGGTTGCGTACGTGTTTCTTGGCGTCGACGTCGATCGGCTGCAGGATACTCTTGTCACCGAGCGTGTCGACCAGGGCCTGATGGTGCCGAGACATACCGTCACTGCGGCGAATAAGAAAATCTGCCATCCACCCACCCACCTCTATCTCCTCATGTTTCCTCTTCTGTGGCCCTCGTCTGCTCAGTATCTCTGAAGTGATGTCCCATCTCAGTGTCGGCCACCTTACCGTCTGACACACAAACACACAAACACACAACACATCGGCACTCACACAACATACACACGATGGATGGCTTTCCATCATGTCTCCCTGACTGACGCAATCCTTGAGTGATCCGCTGACCCTGAGTAGATTGTAGTATATATTCCTTGGTATTTCGGCGATATCGATGGCGGTGAGTGCCACAAGGGACGCCAGCCGTGGAGCGTTGCGGGCCGCACCCCACTCGCCCAGGAAGCTGTCGGCTTTGAGCTCGATCACCAGGTCGACTGGGATCCAACAGGGAAGCTGTCGAGTTGAAGTGTGTCTGTTGTATGTCTCATGCTCTCTTTACCTGCAGCGATGTTGTCAAGGGGCCGGGGATCTGGCGGCTGCAGGCCCTCTGAAGAAACAAACGCGCACAGGGAAATGTTTTGCCGTTTCGATGGTTGTGGCACCAACGACACGCACCTGATTCCTCTGCCTCGAAGGACACCATCTCGCCTCTCGTTTTCTGTAGTGGTGGGCGACACATTCACTTGTCATGGGGGTGTGTCAAAGCAGATCATGCGGCCCTGACCCTTCTGTAGACGCCGACGGTGCCTCTGAGCAGGATGTAGACGCCCAATGGCGGGTCTGTCTCCTCGCACAGCGTCTCATGGGGCCCTAGAGCACGCCTAACCGGCACGCAACACCGACACGAGGGAGGTGAATTTCATCCATATCATCGTTTGGCCTTTTTAATGTCTGCCTGCCTGCGCACACACACACACACACGCGCGCCTGGCCTGCCTACCACTCACAGCCGGATGCTACCTGAAGGCACGTGTGGGCACGCACAGCAATACAAACAAAAGGCCTGGCCTGCTTGCTGTTCTCATTCATTCACTGACTGACTGACTGACTGACTGACACTCACCGCTCGCAGTGATTCGAGTGGCACGCCGACCAGCTGAGGCAGGTTCTCCAGATACTCGAGCAAGATCTGCACCAGTCGTCCGCCAAGTAAGTCATGTGGACCAGACCACACTGCCGCAAGGTGCGTGCTAGGTTACCTTCATGTCCTCCTCAGTGCGGCGGTTTGGCTGTGTGGCCTTGACAACGTCACGGGCAGCCTGCGTGCACACAGAGGGGGACAGCAAGATCTCTTTCTGCCGCTGCCGGCTGGCTGCCTGTGGCCCGCCTCTCCTTTGTCTGCCACCTGTCTGTCTACCTGTCTCTTGACTTGGTCGTTTCTCGCAGCGAGGAGGATGGTCTCATAGTTGTACTTGTCAAGCACCAGGAACTCGCAGACGGTCTGGGAGCGGACTGTCGCACTCCTGCACCACACAAACACACACACACACACACACACACACACCGTCCCATCACACATCGCAACGTTGTCTGCACGAGTCGATCCCACCTTTTCTCCTTTCGGATGAGGCCCCATTCGCCAAACGCCTGGCCGACCTGATGAGCAAGACACAGAGAGAGCGCGAGATGGCGCTTTGTGGACCGCACAGCAGTGAGCTCATGGTCCTAGCTTTCACTTACTTACGTGTAGGTCCGTCAGGTGCTGCTCGCGGCCGCGCTGGTTCTGCACAACACGCACACGCCACCCACACAGAAAGATGCGCCGTAGATGGCGACTAGCCTTTCGGCGTTTTCACCCTCCGGAAGACCCCGACAGTGCCGCGCAGGATGAGGTAGAAGCACTCGGACTCATCGCCTGCACAAAAAAGCGAGAAACATGTTGTTGAGGAGAGAATGAATGGCCCCTGCGTGCACATGATGTATGTGTATGTGTGCATCCCACACCCTCAAGGACGACCACTCGTTTGGGGGCGAACCTCTGCCTGCAACACAGACAGAAAGGTGGCGATTGATTCGCCTAAGTTCCGGCTGTCGGTCGGCAGGAGCGTGCAGTGGACTCTTCTGTGGTTCATGTGTGCCGCACCACCACACAGCCTGACACAGCCGATTGAGCGCCGAGTCCTCCAGGTCAGCAAACACACGGGCCGTCACCAGCACTTTACGCAACACCTGACGTGACAGACCCACAAAGAAAGAGGGACATATCCCTCTACAATGAGTGGATTGACCGCCGTGCTGTGCTCGCCTGCAGATGTATTACTCACCTCGATGTCTTTCGGCATTCGGCGTCTCGGCGGGACGGCCGATAGGATGCGCAGGGCACGATCCACGTCCTGCACCCCATGTCAGAGTGCCAATCACTGATCACTTTCCCCAATGGCATGCGGCCCTGTTCTCACTCACCGCCTGGTCCAGCTGCCCTTCTCCCTTTGGTGTTTGTACAGCCGGCGGTGCGCTGGCGGCCGGGGTGGCATCCCCTGCTGCAGCGCTCTGAAGCAACACTGACGCCCGAACACGCGACGACATGGCGCCGCTCTCAATCGCTGCCGCCGTGTGGTTCTTCCAGTTTGCATGCATGGGGGCGCCCCCAAGAGCTCGCACCCTAATCGCCAACTGCGCCGTTCGTTCGTTCGTTCATTCGTTCGTTCGTTCGTTAATCTCACGGGGACCTTGCCCCCGCCCCCGAAGGGGTACGCAGAACCCCTCGTCATTTCCGATGGCAACAGCCGAGGCCCCACCGGCCCTCCCCATCGCAGACCTCCCTGCCCCAGAAATCACAGACCTCCGTCCATTAACCGCTGCATCCGCCGAGTCAGGATGGATTTGCGATGGCTGTGACGTCCGGGGCGGCATCAAGGCCCGCACCAACAGGTACAAGGACATGCTGGATCAGCAGAAGAGAGACCTGGAGGAAAGGCGAATGGCCGCCCAGCAGCACAAGGGCCCCACCCAGACCAGCCTGGACATCGGCAGTGAGGTGGCCCGGGGCGGTGAGTCAGACGCACATGCCTTTCGGCGTCAGTTTGCTGACACGTTGAGGCAGCAGATGGAGGAGAATGAGCAGCTGCGGCGGGAGGGGGCTGAGAGGGCAAGGAAGACGGGCACGGCGCCGCCGTCGACTGAGGAGCTGCAGAGAGAGGCCGATGACCTCCAGGCGGCTTTGAAGAAACAGAAGTCTGATTATCGCAGTCATCTGGACAAGCAGAGAGAAGACCTCAACAAGATCAGGCAGCAGCGCAAGCGCCCGTTAGTGGCTCACACATGCAGCACTGAAGGCACACATGGTCCTCTTTTTGGTGTATTTGTCATTTAGTGACGCTTCGGGCACCTCACTCCCCATCGATGAGAGGTGCCTCACTGGAGCTCAAGCAAAGTCAGCACACACCTTAGCCGCCCTCCCCATGACTCATTAATGAAGCCTTTACTGCAGGGCAGCGCGCGAGGCTTATGCCGCCGCTTTAAAGCGTCAGATGGACGAGCTGGCCGAGGCCCGCCGCAAGACGCAGGACGAAGCGGCAAGTCATCTGCAAAGTGAAGCACCCCCGCCGCCCGCACCCCCGCCCGATTCGAGGCTGCAGGACGCGTGGAAGCAGAGCATGGAGAGAAGGGATGCCATGGCCAAGAAACAGGCGAGTGGGTGGAAGGGCGGGTCGTCGTGCACACTATCAAAACCCGGTCGATGCATCATGTGTCTCTCTTTGAGTGTATCAGGCTGAGGAGCGAGAGAAAGACAAGGAGGCGGTGCGCCGCGCGGCCGAGGAGATGGAGCAGGACAGACAAAGGGGCTTGCAGGTCAGCAAAGCGAGACGGGGGACAATGGGGACAATCTAATGGAAGGAAAGAAATGCTGTGTGTGTGGTGGGCTACAGGCTCGCCGTGAGCAGCAGAAGGCCGTCCGCCAGGCCCTGGACAAACAAATGCGAGACAGCCAAGCTCTCCGGGACCAACACGTAGGCGGGCAGCGGCCGCACATATGCTTTATGCCAGTCTGTGTCTGTCTGTCTGTCTATCTGTCTCTGCAGTCCGCCAGCTGCGAGCACGGAAACGACCACTTCAACTGCACCATTTGTGAGAGACCCTTCCCCAAGGCAAGCACATACACACGGCAGAAAGCAAGAGTGGAACTTGCATGTAAGTATGCTGACCCTCTTGTCCGCCCGCCAGAGCACCCTCAAGTGGACAGCACGCGACCGCGTCAGGGAGCTCCACGACACACTGCATCGCAAACATACTACGAATGCGCCGCGCGGCCAGCCAACCGCAGAGGCCGGCCCTCCGCACACACAGAGCCACGACCAGGCCGACAAGGGGAACATCAGCGAGTCTCAGACTCTTCGGGAAGAGAAGCCGGTATCGTTCAGGGGGGAAGACCATGAGTGTGACCACGAGGCGGATCTCAGGGCACTGCAGGACAATGCTGCAGCCAATGGATGAATGAATGAATGAATTGACTCCTCAGATGGGCCGTTCCCTCACAGATCGATCTGTTTGGTGCAAGGGGGTTTGCATGTGAGGGACAGCATGTCGCTTCTGCGATGAATTTGCATGCGCGAACCTCTTCTTGCTCTTTCACAGCTCGCCGATCGCTGTCGCGACTGTGCCCGAGTTGCTGGATGGCTGCTCTGTGTAGGGGCTGCATTCTCCACTCACACCTACTTAAATCACCACACACACACACACACACCCAGGGATGCATTAGTGTTTGTCTGTGTGTCTGTGCGGATCCATCCATCCAGCGCACGTCACACACTTCAGCTCGACGGCCTCGGCTCCCTATCAAATGCACTCAGTCAGTCAGTCACGCCACACCCACACACGCCATTGTCGGGTCACTAACTTCACGCGCAGAGAGCATGGATCGGAGTGCAATGATTGTAGTGCTTTGCAGCACACACAACACAAACACGTGTCTGTCTGTCTGTCTAGGTGGCCGCCATGAGCTGCGACAGGGGGGGGATCCGGAAACCCGGAGCGATATAGTGGGCATTCTGCGCCACACGACACACACAACACACACGGCGGCCAGGGATGACGACATCCATCTGATTTGTCTCGCCCCTTTGTGCCCCTCACTCAGTCACCTTTATCTCGTGCAGTCTTTCGCAAGATGATGTGTCTACTTTGGGAGCAGCAGTCGGCTCGCCGCCCTCAGACCCCTTGGCTGACCGATGGATGGATGAAGGAAGGGCAAACAGAGCAGAGAGGGGGTGACAAGTTGAGCACACGACCCACCCACCCCCCCTCCGCCCATCTAACCCTTGTGCTGCAGCTGCTGGCTTCCTCGGCAGGCCTTCACGAGCTTGTCGATGTGCTGCTGCTCGATGTGGTGCTCCAGCTGTATGCACAGTGGATCAGGGAATCGAGCCATAGCTGACATCTGTCCGTATCAGCTATGGCGTGTGTGATTCGTTGCCTCCCACTCCACTCACCTTGAGGTCCCGCTTGTGTGGCTTCTTGTCGGTGGAGGCGGCCATCTCTCGCGTGAGGAAGTAGGTGAGGCCCAGCCGGCTGGTCTCGCGCCGAACGGGGTACTTGTCAGACGATGACAGGCTGTACCTGGGGCTCTGAATGAACCACACAGACACCCAGAGAGACACACAGACACGAAGACGTGTGTGGGGGGGTGCGATGGTAGTTCGTGTGGCTGACTGACTGACCTTGCCGATGTTGCTTGAGATGAACGAGACGGCCACGATGGCCACGATCGGCAGCAGCTGCATGGCCTGCATCACATAACGCTGACCTCTGCACACACACACACACATATGTAGGTAGCTACACATATCCGTCAAGAATGGCTGCACGTCACTCACTCTGTCGGGGGCGGGTTGCGGACTTTGGGGACGACGTGCGAGAGGCCGTCAGGGCCCACCTCGGTCGAGAAGAACGCCTGGAACAACTCCTGCACACACACACACACACACACACGCGGACGGACAAACACGCGCTCGATTGGGTCATGCAGCCAGTCCAGAAGCCACTGTGTGGCCTATAAGTATCTCGTGAGTGTGTGAATGAATGTCTGCGTGTGTGACCTCGGGTGTGAGCAGGTCTTTGTCGAACTGATCACGGTACTGCTGAGGCACCTCCTCGTCATCGCCTACACGAACGTGCAGTGCAGAGGAGCGACCGTCTGTTTGTGTGTGAGTGTGAGTGTGGCGATTGATTGGTCTGTCTGTGCCTGCCCACCCACCGAATTGATCGTACATGGCCCTCCTGTTGGCATCGCTGAGGCACTGGAAGGCCCGCGCCACCCTCTTGAAGGCCTCCTCAGCACTCGGGGCCTGGTTCTTGTCAGGATGCAGCTGAAGCGCCAGCTGCATTGCATCCATCCATTCCAGGCAGTGTGGCAGTGTGATGTGATAGATAGATACCACATACACACACAGCACAGGAGCAATCCACCCCTCCCTGTGCAATCCACCCCTCCCTGTGCACTGCACACAAGGGTGGTCCACCCTGCCTATCAGCTAGCTATACCTTCCTATATGCCTTCTTGATGGCGTCTTCGTTGGCATTCTTCGGCACCCCCAGCGCGTCGTAGTGGTTCCTGTGCTTCAGGATCTGCCGACACGCCTTCTCCTGCTCCTCACTGTACGAGCGCTCTGTCCTTCCTCCACCACCACCACCACTAGCAGCCCCGCCATTGGCAGTGGTCTTGCCGTCGGGCGAGGGCATCTTCATGAAATTGGGAGGCGGAGGCGTCGCGCCCGCAGCAGACATCGACACAGACGATGAGCTGGTGGGTGCCGGCTGGCCGGATGGGTGTGACGGGTGTCCGTTGGGCTGGTGCTGGTGGGCAGCCGAGTCGGGGGAGTGGGCGGCTGATGATGTGGTGGCAGCGGTATTGCTGCTGGATGAGTGGGAGTCCTTCTGTGCCAGCTGGGCTCGCGCCTTGATGAGGTATGAGTTGACCGCCTCCTCGGGATACATCCGCTGCGCACGCTCGAACATCCTGACGGCCTGCGGATCATGATGCATACAGAAAATCACATGCAGACAGACACGGACACCCATGCACACATATGAGTGAAAGCGGGAGGTGTGAGGTGGCTGATCTGTCCTTCTTTCCTTCCTTGGTGTCAGTCAGGCTTGTTTGCTTGCCTTGGCAGGGTCATCCTCCTTGAGTGCCTTCACGCCGAGAGCCCTGCACTTAAGCGCTTCGTCCTTGTTGCTGCTGCCATGGGGTGTGCCCTCCATCCTCGACACAAAATGACTGGAGATCTCGCGAGATCTGCTTTGAGTCGTTTCCTTTCAAGCTCGCACATGCATGCGATCTCAGAGGAGGAAGGAAGGCGATGCATTGGTGGTAACGGGTCCTGGGGGACGTAGGGGATGCTGCGTTGCATCTGGTTGTTGCAGCTCATCCATCAGTTCTCATTAGCACTGGCGATGCAAACCAACACCAAGGGAGTCGTCGTTACGGGTGCTACGCGCGGGATCGGCAAGTCCATCTGCCAGAGGCTCTTGCGTGAAGACCCAGATCCAGCTGTGAGGGTGTTTCTCTGCGGCAGACAACTCGACAGGGCTCGCGAGGCGGTGGAGAGCATCATGGCTGCGATGCCCGAGGCAGCGAAGGGGAGGCTGGAGCCGCTGCTGCTCGATGTCACTTCGGAGGACAGTGTGGCAAACGCCGCTCGGCAGGTGGGATCAGAGCACTTATCCATCCATCCATCCGGCCGTCCACCCATCTATGTCACGCAGCGGCTGTTTCTCTCTCTGGATATGGACGGGTGTGATGCAGATTGAGGCCGCTTACGGCAAAGGCAGCGTATATGCGCTCATCAACAACGCCGGCATCGCTCTCGACGTGCCATGGCAGCCCGACTGGCAGAAGAGAGCAGACACCAACGCGCGAGAAACCGTCGAAACAAACGTGTACGGCGCCATGCGGTGCTTTCGGCACTTCCGGCCTCTCATGTGCCGGGGAGGGAGGGTGGTCAACGTGTCCTCGGGGGCTGGCATGATGAACGTGCAGAGAATGCGGGACAACAGGCGGCGTGAGATGCTCGATGAGCGGATGGGCGAGGAGGCGTTTGTTGCGCTGGTCGAAGACTTCATTCGGTGCTGGGAGGGGACGGCCGCTGAGGGCCGCATCGAGATGCACCCTGAGAGGGGCTGGTGGCTGCAGACGTATGGATTCTCTAAGGCGGTGCTCAATCTGTGGACTCGGATCATCGCGAGGCAACACTCTGAACTGCAAATCAATGGTACACAACTGAAGTGTGTTGCACACCAGAGACAGACAGAAGTGTGAGCCAACATATATCATGATGTGCGTGTCTATCTGTGTTGCTGCTGCAGTGTGCACGCCTGGGTTCATTCTGACGGGAATGACTGAGGGCTACGAGAAGGCGTCGACACTCAAGACGCCCGAGGAGGGAGCCAAGACGCCCGTGTGGCTGGCAGTGGGCGACCACACACACACAGGCCGGCTGTTCGGGGGCGAAGGGGATGAGATTGAGTGGGTGGGCTATGGCGCGGGGGCAGCCAGGTGAGTGACTTAAGACATTTCCTTTGAGTCTTTTCCTTGACGAGTGGTGGTGCGGTGCATGAAGCGAACATTTATGTGTCGCGTGTCGCGTGTCGCGTGGCCAGACAGACCTAAACAGACCTAAACCGACAGACAGCCCATTTGCTGTCACCATCCATCAAGACATACACCTGTCAGTCAGTCGGTCAGTCTGGTGTGTCAGTCATCGTCATCTATATCTACCGTCTGATGGACCTATCCTCCCACCGCCTCTGGTCAAACACACCCCCCTGATGCCCTCCCCCACCCCCATGGCCGCGGTAGCCGTAGGAGGTCTCCCAATGATACGGGTCGGCATTGTCCCACCGGTTGGCCCCCCTCTCCCACCACCTGCTGTCACGCCGGTCGTCATAGTCATCATAGCTGTCGTTGCGGCGGCCTCTCTGATGATGATGATGATTGTTGTAGAAGTAGAAGTCGTTGTGGGACTGCCGCCGCCTGTAGTTGGAGTAGTGGCCCGTGCCGGCGATGGTGCTGGTGGTGGTGTTCCTGCCCCTGTTGTCGTAGCTATAGTGGCTGTAGTTGCGAGAGGGGGAGTAGTCGTTGCTGCGCCGGTCGTAGCTGAACACCATACTCACACACACACACACACACAGAGAGAGAGAAGCAGACAGTAACTCCGGGTGTCCATCCATCCGAGTCCATTCCGTCAAACTCGTTTCACCTGTTGCCGTGGTCCGGGTAGTACGATCGGCCATGCTGGTGATGATCCCGCGGCCGATCCCTCCCGGAGCTGCCCCTATCGCTGCCCCTCCTCTCATCACGGCCATCGCGCCGCAGCGGTGACCGCGACCGCTGCCGATTCCCGTGACTACGGCGGTCGCGATCGTCGTCTCGTGGGCGCGACGCCGACCGGCTGCTGCACGGGCTCATCTCGCGCTCGCGGAAACCCACTGCAAGGGGGACGACTGACGCACACACACACAAACACACAAACACACAGAGGGATGGATCAGGAACGATGATAGGGTCATTCGCGCCACGGCTCACCGTGGCCACCGTCCTTGTTGTCTTGCTTTCTTTGGTCTGTTTGGTCGCCATTAGCAGCGCCATTCCGCAGAGGCCCGTAGAAGCTGCCCGGCCCCCGATTGCCGTTTGACAATGAAGTGGCGTGGGCGCCATTCGCTGCCTGGTGGGTGCTAGGTGGTGGTGCGGGTGGGCCACCTGCAGCATCTGCCGCCCCCCTGACGCTCCCATTGACACGTTGCTCCGGCGCCTTCTCGTCCTGAGGCGCCTCGGTCTTGGCCTCGTCCTTGTCCTTGTTGGCCACGACAGACGACGCTTCGCTCTCAGCTGCGGGCCCGCTTGCTGCGGTCGTCCGCAGGCCAGTGCTCGACATCTGGCCGCCCTTGTCCCCCTCAGCGACACTCTCCTCTTTGGCGGTGACGTCAGCAGGGCTGGCTTGCGCATCGGCAGAGGGCGGCGCGAGGAGGTGTGGGTTGTCCTCGAGGTGTTTGAGGGCCGTGTGGACGCAGCCGGCGACCACCTCACGAGTTGGCATCTGAATAATTCGGGTGGCGGGTGCAACGGTCTGGCCGCCATTGGATGGGTTGCGCAGCTCCGCGACGGTCTCCTCGGCTAACTGCACGCAGCACACACAGACACACACACACAAACCGGGACACCGACGAATGACAATTGATGGTTGCCGCGAGCATGTGCAGTGAGGTGTCCGAACTGACCCTCCTGTAGAAGGCCTGGAGCCGTGCCTGTGGACGAGCAATCAATAAGACAGGCAGCAGGGGAACACCGCACCAGAAACCATACCATCTACGGTGAGGTTTCCCCTCGGTCGGTTCTTGTCATTCATCTCACCTCGAAGGCATCGTCGTCGAGCAGAGAAAGGTCCTCATCGGGGTGCATTCGCTTGAATGCACCAGCCAGGGCGTCTACCACTACAGGACCACACGACACCGCCGTCATGATGGATGGCTCAAACACTCAGGCACACAGCAGCACTCCCCGCGGTCTCCGTCCACGGTGGAAGCTCCGTCGTCCTCAGCTCCAGTCGCCAAGCTCGCAGGGTTTTCGGGATCGAACCCAGCCAGAGAAAGCGACGCCAAAAGCGAAGAGGACGATGATGGGCAGACTCCCTGAAGGCCAGTCGAAGATGATCTGCCAAAACGACGCTGTGTGGCAGTCTGACGCCTATCCGTTGAAGCGGAGAGCGTTCATCAATGCGCTGAGGCGCTCGTCGGACGGGCAGTTCGCCGTCGTCATTGACTTCGACAGGACGATTACATGCGCCAGCGTCGACCCCAGACAGGTACACAAAAGAGAAGCGTGACGATGATTGATGTGATGCGAAACGATGCCACGACTCGGATGCGTTTCAGGAGTGTCACGGCATCATGGCCACATCGCCGCTTGGTGACGCCTTCAGAGAGGAGTATGGTGATCTGCTCAACTTCGAGAAGTACTCGTCAGTGCTGCCCGGGAAGCTGCAGTGGCCCGAGCACCTTCTCCGTGAGAAATGGTGGCTCTACGGACATGCACTCCTCATCAAGCACCGTCTGAGACGCTCTCTCATCCCCCCAATGGTCCGCAATGCCGGCGTGCGGCTGCGCGAAGGCGCCAAAGAGTTCCTCCACCTGCTCAACGAGATGCGAGTGCCTGTTCTGGTGGTGTCGGCTGAGGTGACTGACGTGATCTCCGAGGTGCTGCAGCAGCACGGGTGTCTTTATGGCAACGTGACCATCCTGTCGAATGAGTGTGTGTGGGACGAGGAGGGCGTCCTGACAAGCTGGTGGCCGGAGAGTGAGAGTGATGGTGGCGGGGGTGGCATGCCTATGTCCTCGTTCACGAAACACATGGCGCCCAAGTGGGCGAGAGAGTTCTTCGCCAGGCCTGAGGCGAAGCGGCTGCTCGTCATAGGTGGGCAAGATGATGGCAGCAGGTCGGCTGTTGATGATGCGTGTCGCCCGTCGTGCAGGTGACCGCCCCAGGGACGCTCATGTGGTCAAGGGCCTCTCAGTCGACGCCGTCCTCAAGGTAGGCTTCTATGACTTTGGCCACGCGAAGAATGAGGCGGACGACCGCTTCTTCGCTGACTACCAGAAGGAGTACGATGTCCTTTTGACGCAGCCACGGGCGTCTTTTGCCTGGATCACTGCGCTGGTCAGGGAGGTGTGTGTGGGTGGTGAAAGTGATGCGGCCCTCGATGAGGGCAGGATGGCAGGGGCGTGACACACGATACGTGTGTGTGGTGGCAGTTTTCCTCTTTGCCGCCGTCTGTGTGTGTGTGTGTGTGCGTGGATAAGCATGACAACTTGTTGGAGTGACACTTTTTATCTCTCACGAGGACATGTCCGTGTCAGTCATGCCTCGACAGGAACGCTCACGCTCCCGCTCGCCGGCACGCGGTACAGCGCTACTCCATCCCTCATCTCACTCACTGCCTTGGTCTCTCATCTCAACATCAACACACCGACACAGCAGAGAAGGCTCACATCACACACACAGAGAGACAGGGAGAGACGTCCTGTCCCATTCGTTCAATTGGGCCGGCTGTCTGGCTCGCTGCACCATCGATGCAGTCACACACACATGGAAGGATAGACAGACGCACACACATGGGGAAGACAGGCAGGCAAGAAGACAAAAAGGGGGCGGGAGCGGAGCAAAATCAGAGGGGGAAAAGACACACAGGATCCAATCAGGGACAAAACCAAGACAGCGAAATAGAGGCTGAGTCTGTATGTTTATATATCGTGAGAGCCCTGCCCTGCCCTCATCACATCATCTGTCAGTGACGCTAAGGCAGATCAGATAGACATCCGCGTGCAATGCAATGCAATGGTGAGCGCCCGGCCCGGCCACTACAAATACATATTTATAGACTGGCTTGAGGCCCATCCATCGACATGACATACACGGCATGGCATACATCCAATCCACGGCACATGCCACGACCTACCGACCCTGCATGCCATCCCATCCACCCTCACTTAAATCTCCTCTCCCTCCATCCCTCCCTCCCCCGGCTCTCGGTGTTCCTCTCCCCCTAAGCACGTCACGTCACGTCACGAGCAACAGGTAGGCAGCACAGCACCTCACTCGGCCTTGTCGATCTTTTTCGGCTTTCGGGGACCTGATGGAAACAAACGTACGTCCATCTATGCCAGTCTGTCTGTCTGTCTGATGAATGAATGCACTCCGTGGCTGTCTGTCTGGCTGGCTGGGCGCGGGGCGGCTCGGCTGGCCGTACCTACCTACCATATGTGCGGACGGCAAAGTCCACGAAGAGGACCAGGAGTGTGCCGACGTAGCTGCAGTAGAGGAGGCACACGCGGATGGGGAAAGGCGTGCCGAAGACCAGCATCGAGAACCCCTGCACCTCCATCATGATGAACTGATATATCGACGACAGATAGACAGATAGCACACCGACCGGTTCACACAGAGGGCGAGATGACAGCGTGTGCGTGTGCGTGTCGACGGCCGAAGTGTCAGCTCAGCGGTCGACTCGACTCACTGACCTGCAGTATTTGCAGGTTGGTGATGTTTTTCTTGATGACTCGGGGGACGGGCACATCGAGGGTGCGCATGAGGTAGTAGAAATACATGACCACGTGCACAAACGAACTGCACACCACACCACACCATACCATAAGCATCCCATGCCCCCATCCCTCTCTCCCTGTCTGTCTGTCTGTCTGTCGATCGGTGGGTGGGTGCGTGGCAGACAGACTGGCTAACTGACAGACGGACTGACTGACTGACTTGGCAGCGATGGTTAGGTAGATGTCCGAGTCGTATGCGGTTTGCACGCTGATCCAGTAGACGACGAATGTCATCAGGTGGTGGTAGACGTGGATGAAGCTCAGCTGCCGCCACTTGCCGCGCACCACTATGAACACCGTGTCAAAGAAATCTACCACCTTGGACCTGCAGGCAGGCAGGCACCATGAAAGCAACAAAAGGAGAAGGGAGGGAAGGACAGTGGGCGGTGAGAAGAGAGCCCATGGGCGGGTCGATGCACTCACTCAATGAATGCACGCTTACTTACACGTAGAAGAGCCAGAGGACAGGCGCCAACCCTGCGCCCAGACAGACAGCACACACAGACACAGAGGTAGGTGTGCGTGCGAGTGTGGCTGTGTGTGCTTCCCTCGCTCCTTCTCTCTCTGTGGCGTGCTGACCGGCTCCGTGAGTCCTGAACGGGTTTTGGTAGAATTTGTATCCCTCCCGCCAGCACACATCGATGGTCTGAAACAGCATCACGCTGCACAAACCTACCTGTGCCACACACACACACACACACAAGCCGACAGATCTGTGGACGCATTGCATCCCGTCGTTCTCACCTGGACAACGTCATACACCGCCTGCAACAGCAGCAGCGGCTCACGCGCGAATTTCCGCCCCAGCCCGTCGCCGCCCGTCGCCGCATACTCGCCATCTTTCTCCTCACTCTCCCCGGCTCCCTTATCGCCATGCCTCCTGCGGCTGACCTTGAGCAAAACGCCGAACACCGCCCATGCGATGTAGGCGAGTGCGATGAGAAAGGCGTGGCGCAGAGGTACGAGGGGCCAGGTCTCTGTTGGGCGGGGCGAGATGTGGACGAGCTGGGGATGGAAGAGGGTGACCGTCTGATGGGTCAGCCAGTCGGTGGACTCCTCGTACGCCTCGTACCAACGACTCGACGCTTCCATCAGATCTATGAGAGAATCAAAGGCGGACCAATCAGGGCAACGCGGCCGTTCGTATTGCCGCCTTAAGCCACCGTGTGCGTTTCTCTCCTCCTCACCGCAGCGAGCTTAGCTCGCGATATGGATCGGCAAGGGAAAGAGAAAAAAGGTGCCTGCTGCCTTATGCAAGCCAGGGGACACACTCTGACGTGCCCAGCAAGCCCGCACCCCATCTGCAATGAGTTTTCTGAGGGCATGGCGATTGTTCAACTGACCTCTTGAGATGAAGGCGTTGTCCCTCGCGCCTTCCATGGCGCCCACCGCCCAATCGCTGGCCACGGATATCCTGGAAGACAAACCCAAGACAACCACGTGGCAAGTGCTGCTCGAGGTCAGCGGACAGACAGGCAGACAGACAGACAGGCATTTTTCTCCTCCTCCTCTTGGCCTCAGAAATTCTCCGAGTGTGCGTTTCTCACCGAAGTCGATGAGGACGGACAGCATCCCCTCTTCCCCGACCCGAAGCGCAGCGAGGGCGGGGCCCACGGCAAGAAAGGGCCACTCGAGGAGGCCCACGGCGCTCTTGTCGAGGTGGGCTCTGGTGGGGCGGGTGCGTTGCCGGGAGGGGAGGAGGGGGAGGGGCCGCACAAGGGCGGTGACCAGCTGGAGATACTGGCGCGGGTGGACCAGGACAGGATCACCATGATCAAGGAGGAGTTCCTCAACCGCAATAACAATGTCGCCATCGACGAATTCGTGTGAGTGAGTGTGTGAGCCCCGAATGAACGAATGGCCAAAAGCCACGGGAACGAAAACAGATACATACCCAAGAGTGCCGTGGCGTCTGTTTCTCTCTCAGGTACATAATGAAGAAGTACATGGATTGGACGGGCTTCCTCGATGAGCTTCGCGAAGCGGCCGCCCGCAACAGGCGGCAGAAACAAGAGGTCAGCAACCCTCGACAGCTGCAGCTGCAGCCAACTCAGCCCCAATCCGGCCTCCCCTCCCCCCCACCAGCCGCCCCCCAACCACTCCAGCAAGACGGCAGCGCCTCGGGCGTGCTGCCGGACGGGCAATGCGCCATGAGCGAGATCGATGAAGAGGAGATCGAGGACGAGATCCTTGAGGAGGATGTCGACTTGCACGTGACGGCTCGTCTGATGGATCTGTTTGAGCTAATTGACATCGACGGTGGCAAGACCATGTCGTGGGAGGAGCTGACGGGGTTTATTGTCGACCGTGGGAAGGGGCAGGACGTCATGAAGGAGTTCAGCGCCATACGGCTGCTCAAGAGCCACCACCAGGACGACACGCCACACGCGGCGCATATCGAGCGGGTGTACTACTTCTGCGGCAATGGCTTCGATATGCTCGCCTTCTTTGAACAGGGATCACGGTTGGTGAGAAAAGGAAAAGGCGCCTGAGAAGACCTACATCAGACACACACACATGCACACATGCGTGTGTCTGGCAGGTACCTGCGTCTGTTCACGCCCGAGCTGACTCCCAAGAAGGAGCTGCGAGACCAGAAAGCGGGATTGCTGGCAGTGGCGTTCATCGCCAAGTACAGCCTGCTGGTGACGTCGTGCAACGACCTCTCTTTGACCTTCTACGACACAGACAACGACTACAAAGTCATCAAGACATTCAAGGCACGCACCTCTCAACTGGCGCTCTGCTGCTCCACGGTCGGTTCGGTCAGTGAAAGCATCCGGTGAGTGAGATGTCTCTCTGTGATGGTGTGTGGTGTGTTGTGTGGCCTTCTTCAGTCGTGTGAGACTTTGTTCAGCGGCGACCACGAGGGCTCCATCTTTGCCTGGGACATCCGAGCGATCGCCAACCCATACGAAGACTCGCCAACCACACACGCAAACGAGTAAGCGGAGACACACCGCCACACACATGAATCCGCAATCCAGATGTTTCTGTGTGTCTGTGTGTTGGTGAGTTAGGAGGAGTGCGGTTGGTGTGATGGAATTGTGGCACAAGTTCATCAGCTGGCGTCAGATCCGGCAGCACCTCGACATAGTGGTCGACCTCCTCGAGCTGCCCTCCTTCGAACAGCTCGCCTCGTGCGCCATGGACAAATTGGTGCGCACGTCACGTACGTAGCGAAGATGGATGGAGGGGCGCAGCCGCCCGCCTGCCTGCCTGCTTGGGATGGGATGTCTGCCGGCTTGGCTTGTGTGCAGGTTTACATATGGGATGCGGCGACGGGCGAGCTGAAGCGAAAGCTCGAGGGCCATGAAAGGGGCGTCAGGACAATGTGCTTCTCGCCTGCAAACAAGGTCAGCAAGCAAGAGAAAGGAGAGGAGAGGGGCGATCAACCGATGAGCAGTGACTCCTCCCTCCCTCCCTCCCTCCCTCTGTCTGTCTGTCTGTCTGTCTGTCTATCTGTAATGGATGTGATTTATCCATCCAGCTGTTGATCACGGGTGGGTTTGACTACCAGCTGTTCATCTGGAATCCCTACGTGGGCAAGGCCATCCACACCATCAAGGGACACCTCGCACCCATCATCAAAATCGAGTCACTCGGACCCGGCACAGGTAGGTAAGCGACTAGTTTGATCATTCATTCGCACACACACGCTTCTCTCTCTCTCTGTGTCTCTTCCCGTGTCTCTGTCTCTCTCTGTGTGTCTGTTCTGTGTGTGCAGGTCAGGTTGTGTCGGCAGACACCGATGGCTGCATCAAGACATGGGACCTCACCAACTACTCGTGCCTGCAAACCATATTTGTCGACGAAATGCCGCAGCTCAGGTCCGTCGCTGCAGTGCTGAAGCACAAACGCATCGTCTGCGCGGGCCGCAAGCTCCTCGCCTTCGACTTTGAGCGCACCGGCGTGCCAGAGGAAAGCGACGACCATCCACTCATCAAAGTAAGTAACCTAACCGACCTCCACTGCAGTTACTGCAGTTGCTGCCACCCCAACAACACGTGTCTGTCTGTCGGTTTGTGTGTCTTGCTTGTCTCACAGGCGCTGTACAACGCGAAGCTGCGGATTTTCATGACGGCGGGTGGGAACCACGTGAGAATATGGGACGCGTCGACGGGCGAGCTGAAGCACTCGATCCAGCACAAGGGCGGCCACGAGATCACCGACTTCTGCATCGACGACAGAGGCAGGAAGGTGGGCTGTGTGGCAGTGAGGCTAGTGGCATCCATGCCATGCGAAAGTGTGCGTCTGTTCTGTTCTGTGTGTGCTGCATTGCATTGCATTGCATTGCATGCGTATTGTCGTCAGCTGTTTGTGTCTGACCATGCGGGCAATATCGCCGTCTACAACGCATCGACGGGCTACTACCTCAGGACACTCACCAAACACAGGTCAGTCAATGTGAGTTCCGTTGTCTCACGCTCGTTCGTGTCTGAATGTGTCTGGGCATGTCTGTCTGTCTCTTCATCATATCAGGGCTGAGGTGAGCGGTCTTGTATACTGCCCCGGCGACCGCTGTCTGCTGAGCGTGTCATGGGACAAGTCGCTGGTGGTCCATGACGAGGGATCAGAGGGATCACTCGCCACGCCAAAAGTGAGACAACACACACACACGATCATCTATCTAGGCCAGGCCACAAGACGGGTAGATAATCTAGGTGTGGGTGTCTGTCTGTGTGCAGGTGTGGCGTCGGATAGCGAACGCGCATGCGGGAGACATCACGTGCTGCGCCTACTCGCGGCGGCTGGGTCTCATCGCCACCGGATCCACCGACCGCATCGTGGTCGTCTGGAGCTACGAAAAGATGAAGAGAGTCGCTGAGCTCTTCGGACACCAGGCAGCCAAACCACTCACGCACCCACCCACTGATTGACAGCACAACGCCCACTCGACAGTGAATCGGCTCTCTTGTTGCAGGCCGAGCCGACGTGCCTGCGCATACTGGAGCCCTTTCCCCTGCTGTGTTCTGCCGACCAGCTGGGGCAGGTGTTCCTCTGGCTCATCCCCCCACACCCCCTCGCAGAGAGGGTCCTCGACAATGAGGCCAGGCAGGCCAGAAACGGCACCGTGCTCCTCACCAGATTCCTCAATCTTCACGTAAGTCACAAGAGAAAAAAAGAGAGAAAGGAAGAGAAAGCTGCGTGTCCCCTACATTTATGTGAATGAGTGTGTGCAGAGTCTTGAGTCAGCGGTGCCGATTCAGTGCATGGACTTCTTCTACCAGCCCCCCTCGGCCCCGCAAGACGCAGCCGACCCCGCACACCCGTCCGCCGCCACACACACGCGACAGTCAGACTCATCCCAGGCCACCATCCACAGCTCACACGCCGCTGGCGAGCTGACAGCAGCCAATGCACACGAAGGCCCTCACGGGTCAGTTGTGAGGCTCGCCGACGCCCATGCGACAGATGGCGCTGACGTGAGCGGAGGGGATGAGGCGGCCCCCGGGGGCAAGAGGACGACGTCGCTGAGGAAGGGCCGATCGCGGACGAGGGTGTCAGGGGCAGACAAAAAGAAGTCGCGGGTCATGACGTCGTCGATCAACTCGCACAGCTCTCGGGCGCCCAGGAAGAGCACGTTCGTCACATCCCCGGTTGGCAAGAGCTCGCTGCTGCAGACGCCTGCGTCGGCGGACGGGGGACAGCGGCGGGGGGCGCTGGCACACAGCAAGGGGCGCCCATTTCCTGTGGTGCGTGAGGTGCCCTCTGGTCTGCGCATGCTGCTTTTCACTGGAGACGAGGAGGGGTTCATTCGCGTGTGGGACATTGGCAGGCTCTTCCGGTGAGTTAGCGGCACACACACACACACAGCCAGACAGACCGATGGCCGTCCGTCTCCATGAATGAATGTGGGGTGTCGTGTCGCCTCGTGTCGCCTCTGGGTCACATCACACAGGTACGACGGCATAGTGCCATTGGAGGTGAAGAGGGACTGGTACCCCCACAGGGTCATCTACGAGGACGCCAGGGAGCACAGCGAGATGTCCGTCAAGGCCGCAGCAGCCGCCGTGTCCACCTCTTCACGCCGGTCGCTCGAGACGCTCTGCCAGGGGCCGGTGGTGGCCAGAGTGCGGAGCTGGAAGGCCCACACGGACGCCATCACGAGCCTCGAGGTGGTGGCCAATGCCAATTGCATCCTGACGGCTGGCTATGACCGCATGGCCATGACGTGGGCGCTGCACAAGGAGGGCGAGAGGATAGGGGCGCTGAGACAGACGCCGTCCGACTGGCACTTCCCCGTCAGGACCGACCTCTCCACCATCGACGCCGGCAAACTCAAGGTGCGTCGGCCCGAGACACTGAGAGAGACGCACACACACACAGACAGACAGACAGATCGACAGAGACACGTCCACGTGTGTGTGTGTGTGTGTGTGTCTGCAGGAGGTGGTTGAGAAGGTGCGTGAGCTGGAGATGGTTGAGCCAGGCGGTGGGCGGCGGCGTCGGTCGTGGCGGAAAAGCAGCTCGCGGCTGAGTAATGGGCGGCGGTCATCGCGGGAGCTGCAGACCATTGTAGAGGCAGACACGCAGCTCAAGCTGGGCAACTGACAAGGATGCTCTCTCTCGTGTGGATCGGTTGCTATTCTGTGTTAGCGGCTTCACATCATTTTTATTGGGGGAGAAGGGGGCATTCATTACACACCTTTATATATATATCGGGTGGATCGATCCTGCGTTGTCTGTGGTCACTGCACACGTACTTGTACACGGTCACTCCACGGGCCGTCCATCCAACACAACACAAGGCAACGCAACACAAGGCAACACACATCCCCCTACCCAGCTTAGCCTAGGAAACCGACCTACGACAGACACCCCAGCCCACACACGTACTCCACTCCCTCCGCCCCTTCGAGGCAGCCAGCCATTCATGCCATCACTCACACACAGACGCACCCACAAACAAGGGCTGAATGAATGACGCAAAAAGTCCGAAATCATCCACGCGCCCCTCACGTAAGAGAGAGGCAGACATTTGTTTTGTGTACGGGTGCGCAAGGCAGGTACAGGTAGGCAGGCAGTCGTCAGTCTCTGGAGTGAGTGAGTAGTCGGCTACCGTCCCTTCCACATCAGCCGCACACGTCGGCAGGAGTGGTCTTATGCGAACAGAGGATGCGTCAACACCCTCCGTCTACATCGAGAGCCACCAGCCGACCGACGTGTGCAGCCGACGTGGCTGAGAGAATTAAGCCGAACAAGCCGTAAAGTACACCGTACGAACGATCTTCGTGCAAACAGCTATCGCCAGGTAGTCGCCCACACGCGCGTCCCGTTCTGTGCCTGCCAGCTTTCCTGCTTTGACTGACTCTACGCCTTCCTCCCTTCGCGACACAAACAAACGGGCCAGCGCATGCAACACAGTCAGTGAGGCCATCAGTTCTGCGGGTAGCTCTGTCTACACTGCAGGTTTGTTTGTCGGCCGCCTCTGCCTACCCTACCAGTCAGGGGGTCAATCAGCTCAGCCAGGTTGCGATAGTGAATGGAAAACGGTCGGTGCCAAAAACAGGCACACTCACTGCTCGTGCGATGTGTCCATCCATCAGGTTGGCCAAGTCGAGTGTGTCTGTGGTGGTGTGTGTGTGCGTCCAGCCACCACTGTTAAACCGCCACGTGTCCTTGAAATCATTGTCATGCGCACACCCAGCCAGCCAGCCACACGCACCCAGAGAGAGACAAATAGCACCAGCCGCACTCTCACTCTCACTCCAGTTAGTCATCGCAGCACAGCACAGCCACCTCTGGGGAAAAAATGAACGTACACTCTCATCCACACACACATGCACACCCACCCACACACACAGATACCCATTGGCCTTCAAATCAGCAGCCATCCCTCCATCCAGCAGCATTATGCAGGCAGGTACGTCAGTGAGGCCTTCATTCAATCGGGAGAAAAAGGCGACAGAACACACCGACACTGACACCGACACCGAGGCCATGTTAAGAAAAAGGAAAGTACCACCCACACCCACACCCACATACGAAGGCATCCGAGTGGCTGAACACGTCAAAACCGGTTTGAAACTGACAACGTGCAAATGAGGGCGTAGATATGCTCGCTGCATCACCGCAACCGTGTGTATGTGTACATCGCAAGTGGGAGGCAGGCAGACAGAAAGGTAACGTATATTATCGACACTTCAACGAAACGACCCCTTACGCACGCAACCATTCAGCCACACGCAGCCACCGACCGACTGACCCACCACTACACACACATACCATCGATCAACTCATGGGGTCGTCACGGATGTAATTCTTTCTGAACAGAAATCACACAACAAACGGCAAACCACACACACAGACACACACACACACACACACACATGTATACAGCACGCCCCCCTCCCCCTCTCCCAGGCTCCATCCGCCACTCACCCGCGCCTGTATTTTTTCATGCGGAACGACCCCCTGCCTCCGCCGTCTGCATCCTCATGGTGGTGGTGGTGGTGGTGATGCGGCACACCGTAGCCCCCGCCACGTCCCATGTGCCCATGAGGGTGGTGGCCGTAAGGTCGTGTCCTGAAGGGGGGCCGACCGGTGCGTGTCTTGGAGGGGCTGGGACCATCCGGGAATGGACTGCCGTGGTGCTGGTGGGGGTGGGGGTGGGGGTGCTGCTGGTGCTGCGACGGTGGTTGGTGCTGGTGAGAGGTGTCTTGTGCGCTGCCGTCCTCGTGGATGATGATGGTACGTTTGGCCTGGGTGGGAAAGGTGTCTTTGGGGGTGGGGGAGGTGTCTTGGCTGTCCTTCTTATCAAATCTGTGAGCGGGAGGGAGAAGAGGGGACGAACGGACCAACGAACAGGGTGGGTGTGAATCCACTCATTCATTGTCGGCCTGGGTGACTCTCCTGGCTTGCCTTACTTGGATGATGCAGAGGGTGTGCGTTCGGGTGTGTCTGGCGTCACTTCAAGTGACCTCAGGTCGGTCGCAGAAATGGCCTTCGAACCCGCCGCTGACACACACACACACAAATACAGAATCCTCCAATGTGGACATCCTTGCTCCCCCCTGTGTGCTCGCCACACACACCTGCTTGGACGAGGATGCCGAGCGACTCCTTGAGCGCCTTGGTTGCCTTCTCATTCACCGCCATCTTGTCAAACCCACTGAACGTCCGCGCCCTCTCAATCGTTATCCCCTCCCCACCCACACCACCACCTGCCGCCCCTGCCCCTCCCCCTGCCCCTCTTCCTCCCTCTCCTCCCGACCCCTCCCCCATGCTGGGACTGCTCCCGCTGCGGCACACGTCCATCATCGTCATCGCAGCATTGGGCGATGCGCCCTTGCCCTCAGAGAAGGACACCACCGATCGGCCGCCCTTGCCGGATGAGACGACCGAGTTTGGGCTGCCGCTCGTCGACGCCACCGAGAAGGAGCGCGAGAGGCCGCTGACGACCAGGTCGCTGCATGCAGAGCCGGCAAGGGCGTGGCGTGCGACTTTGCTGTCCGAGATGGAGCGCTGGAAGGTGAGGACGGTGGTGACCTGGTCGAGGGCGGTGGTGCCGCCCGCTAGATGGCGGTCGGTGCTGTCGCATTGGTCGTGGGACGCCTGGCTGCCGAGATATCTGTCCATGAGGGAGGAGTAGAGGCTGAAGCGCTTCAGCTTCGCCTCCAGCGATAACGATGACGCCATCCTTGAGGCTGGAAACCTTGAGGCTGGGGCGCGTTCGACGTCCTCTGCCTCTTTCCCTTCTCTCCCCTTCTCTGAGCTCGCAACGCCGGCCAACGATTTCTCAACCTCACGGGGACCTTGCCCCCTCTCGCTTGAGGGTGTCTTATACGCCCAGCAGTTGCTGACTCGCAAGCGAGTCACCGTGGACTCGCTTGCAGTTGCTGACTCATCCATCGGTGGATGTCCCTCGCCCTGTTTCTCGCAACTCCCTTGCTGTCCATCCTCCGCAACAGCAGCGTGCGCCTCCCCTCACTCGCACCAGCCAAGAAGAAGATGACTCAACCTGCCGCACTCAGCGGCGTCAAGATCTGCATCGTCGGCTCTGGAGTCTGTGGCTCATCTGCCGCCTTCCACTTAAGCCGACTGCAGGACGTTTCAATCAGCGTATTCGACTGCGGCAGGGGCCCAGGAGGCCGCACAGCGACGCGCTTCAGCCGCTCACTCCCTGGGGTTTCCTTCAACCACGGCACGCCGTTCTTTGCGGCTCAGTGTGATGAGGCAACCGAGGTGCTGGAGAGAATGGTGGAGCGACAGCTGGGGCTGGGGCGCTATGAAGGCAGGAGGATGGTGCTCGACGCATCCAGCGGCGAGATGAGGGATGCCCCTGATGAAGGCCCGCAATACGTCGGCAGCCCACATATGAACAGCTGGTGTGAGGCAATGCTTAGCTCAAACCCGCGGATCACTCAGACCTACTCGAAGACACTCGTCGAGATCACCTACGACCCCGCAAAGAGGGAATTCTCGCTGCGTGACGACGAGGACGGTGTGTATGCGGGCTTTGGTGTGGTTCTGCTGACGAGTGTTGCTACTGGTGAGGAGCGCGGGCTGTCATTCGACCTTGACCCATCGCTGCGGCGGCTCGGCGCCTCGCTGCGCAAGGAAGGTGTCCCTTCTGACGTTGATCGTCTGGTGAATGCAATGGCCAAAGTGAGGAGCGACAAGACGCAGACCCTCATGCTGGCGTATCCCACGGAGGCCGCCGTCCCATTCGACTGCCTGATGGTTGAGAACGACCCCATTCTGTCCAAGATCGTCATCCTTCCCCGCCAGCAGGGGCTGCTCTGCCTCGTGGCCCACTGTACCCGTGGCTATGCCAACCAGTTCACGCACCTTGCGCCGCCCACAAGTGTGCCTGGGAAGGAATACAAGCCACCAGAAGAGCTGGCAGGGACGCTGCGGGAGCGGACAGAAGGGGTGCTGCGGAGGGTGATGCCGTCGGCTGAGCTGCCTGCCCCCGTCATGTGTCAGCTGCAGCAGTGGGGGGCGGCGTTTGCTGTTGAGGGGCCTGAGGAGGCGCGGGGAGATGGGTGTTTGTGGGATGGGTGTATTGGCTTGGGGGTTGGTGGCGATTTCTGTGGGGAGCCTTTGGGCAGCTGTGAGAGTGCGCTGTTGTGTGGGAGGGCTCTGGCTATGAAAGTTGAGGGATGGCTGCGTGAGGGGGGAAGGGATGCTGCGAGCAAATGAACGTGACAGTTGACTCGTTGAATGTCTCTGTCCCATGACAAAAAAAGCCAGTGTTGACGACTCTCGTTTGCACGTCCACACAAACACGCGCACAGACACGCGCCCCCCTGTTGAAAGCGTTTACGCACACAACACAAAACGCATATCCTACTGCAAGCAGACCATACCCACACGTGGACATCCATCCATCGATCCATCCATCGCACACAGAGAAGAATGGAAGGACAACCCACCCCGCTTGCAGCTGA